GGGCTTGTAGTAAGGGATGATATTCCCTTACTCCCTACTAGCCCGCCTAAGTATAGTCATGAAAGGCAGCTGAAATGTCACGTCTCACACAGACAGCATCTGAGATCAAGAAGCTTCCTGTCATCTCAGTCGCCGTTACCATGAACAGAACCTGTGCCAGCAGTTTACTGGCGATCAACAGGGAAAATAAGAATATACGATATGGGGATTATCTAGTGATTATCTTCCCTCATTCCCTACTAAAAGTCAGTAAGGCCATTGCCGGTCCTATTGAAAAGACCCCTTATAGCAAGACCTCACTACTTGGGTAGTAAAACGTAGTGGTTCTTAGTAAGGAGTAAGGGAATACATTATATAGGCATTCCTTGTTCCCTACTAATAAAAGTGTGACAAGGAGGCTGAGAGTTATTAGGCCCATCGTGTATCTTTTAATCCGTAGTGGGGTTGGGTGAGGATCGCGAAAGTTCTTTGTTTTGCTGATAAGGTAGCCCTAAACCCTAAACCCCAAACCAAAATCTTTTGATGCTTGCCTGAGCTCCTTAGGTTGCAGAAGGTAACTCAGTGCAGAGTTTAGGGGTTTACGGGTGAAGGTTCGGATTTCAGGTTTAGGCTTAGGGATTACTATGGTTTGAAGTCGAATGATTATTAGGGGTATCTAGCGCTATCTCAGAAGCGAGCATGAACAGTGGAGCACAAACGTCACGCCTTTGAATGGCTTGCATGGGGTCATGTGCAAGCTTCCCGAAACCTAGTTATGCTTGGTCCGTCTGCTGCCTACGAAGCATGATTGCGTCATACCATGCGGGCTCAGTATGCGAAACTTCCACATAAGTCTGCATAAACATACTATGCAAAGCTACCACGACCTGGGACACGACTGTTCACAAACCTTTGCGAAAGTGCCACTTTCATCCAAGTCTGCAGCTACAGTCCAAATGCATAGCGGTCGCAGAAGACTGTTCTTGAAGGACTTTCCAGAACACCCATGTGGTAAATTGCCGCCATCTAGGGACGCCAGATGCTGCAACGTCCCTGCACTAACAGTCTAGAGCCCTAAACCCTTAACCCTAAACTGCGTGGTGGCAGAACTCAACACCTTCTGTCCAAAACACCGATGCTTTGAGGGATCCTGGACCCACGGCTTGGGGTTTAGGGACATAAGGTCCCCAAATCACGGGCCTATGAAGACCAGAGTCCACTTCAAGAAGTGCCTTTGTGGGCTCCTATTTTAGTTTGAAGGGTAAACCCTGGAAGCAACCCTCACATGTCCAGCAGGCAGTCCGCAACGCTTTTCTCCTACTTCGATCCGGGACTTCTCAAAATCCAAAACATACCTAGGGATTATTGGGATCACGAAGTCAGTAGGGGCAGTTCCTCTTAAGGATTGTATGGGTCACATTTTGAGAAACTCCCATCTCAATTCACGCCCACAAGTCTTCGTGCTGTGTGGCAGTGACACTGCGTGCAGCTGGGGTCTGGCACAGTAATACCTATGGTAACCAATATAGGGTTTAGGGCCCTATAATGGAGAATCAAATGCAAAAGGAAATGGAAAATGAAATGGAAACTGGGATTATATAGGGGTTATCTGAGTAAATTTTTTATACAGTAAAAATAGAAACTGTAGCAAGAATAAACTAATGATGGTAACAAATACTGATATACTAATGATAGTAAGAATACTTATTACAATATGGACAACTATCATTACAGTAATAGCAATGATAATAATAACAATAATAATCAGAAGAAGAATAGCAATATTCAGTAATACTTCAAAATAACAGCGATGTTGGCTTTCACCTGTCAAGCTTAGGTGGACCTTCCCATGGCGAAGATGGACGCCCATGTCTTTGTCTAAAGAAATACCCCAACTGCAAAAGACTACAGTTTGGGGCTCAGGGTTTGGGGGTGGAAGGTTTTACGCTTTCAAAACTTTGGGTTTGCTGGGGCTTTAGCATCTTGGGCTTATGGGCTAAAGCCTGAACCCGAAACCTCGAAACCTCCAAGCCATAATTCGCCAAACCCGAATCCCAAACACGCAAACCATCAAACCCTGTAAACAGAAGGATGCATGCATCTAACTTTGCTTGCTTCTCAATGAACTACATCTCCAATGCACGCGTCATAAGGACACGCACGAAAATCCTTGCGGAATCTTGTATACACTCATGAAAGCCCTTGGGGCTAAAGACTTTGAACCTAAACCCTAAGAGCACCCCTAAGCCCTAAACAGTGTGCCCTGCGCAGACCTCAGAACAAACATTTCATCTCTGGGTGCTCCTTGCGAAGCTCCTCAGCAGACCAGAGCCTCTTTTCGAAAACAATGCCTGGGTCAACATATAGGGGATTCTAAACTCCTTAAAGGGGACTATATGGGGGATTATATAGGGTTTAGGGTTTGGGATTGAGGGTTTAGGGTTTAGGGTTTAGGGTCTAAACTCCTGAAAGGGGGTTTTACAGAGGACCATATAGGGGAGTATATGTGGATTCTATAGGGTTTAGGGTTTAGGGTTTAGGGTCTAAACTCCTTAAAGGGGGTTATATAGGGAATTATATAGGGAATTGTATGGGGCTATATGGGGATATATGAGGTTTAGGGTTTAGGGTCTAAACTCCTGAAAGGGGGTTAAATAGGGGAGTATCATAGGGGTTACTAAGGGGATACTTGGAGTCTAGACTGTGGCTCAAATGAGGGGGTGTCCCTGGGTTCAGGGTTTAGGGTTTAGGGTTGGGGGTTAGTAGGGGTTAGGGTTGAGCGTGTGGACCTACGACTCTCAAGGTTTTGTGGGTTGGGGGTGTTAAGTGTGTGGCGCAGAGCTTCGCGGGGCTTGGGGGTCGAAATGAGAAGTGTTGGTTGCCCCACCTTCACCCAAAACCTACATGGAGCTTCGTAAAACCGTCCTCTTCGGAGGGACAGTAGTACTGGCACAGCCTTTTGAAGGTTTCCAGAGTTAGTTCCGGGGGGAAGCAAAAACCCCAACTGTCGTTCCCTGCGGGCTCAGTTCGCCTCATCCTTACTATGAAGGTGCTTTTTTTGGCAACGCTCTTTTCCATGAAGGGGTTTAGGGTAAAGGTTTAGGGTTTAAGATTTAGAGTTTAGGGTTAAAGGTTTAAGGTTTAGGGTTTAGGGTTAAAGGTTCAGGGTTTAGGGTTTAGGGTTTAGGGGCTCAAGCCCAGACTCCTGGTCAGCGTTCGATATACTGTAGATGGACCCCGTCACTCACCCAGTAGTAGTGACTATAAGGGATAGCGGTGATTATAATTGGGTCCTCTTCTCTACCTATATGCCAGGATTACAGGGTGGGGGCTCCACCTAAGATATACTTCAGTATTGACTAGCAGTAAGTAGAAACCCAATAATAAATATGGAGGTACAATCCTCGTGGTATCCCTCGAAAAGGAACCAGGACCAAGGAGCCTTCAAACCTTCCCTCGAAAGACGAGCGCGAAACCCCTTCAATGTATAGGGTATATATGTATATATAGTAATAATAGAAATTGGAAACTACTGTTTAAGGTTTTAAGTTTCAGGGCTTAGGGTTTTTTTCGGCTTTAAGGTGTCTTGTTACTCTGCCCCTAAACAACATGAAAGCCCCATACAAGTACTTATAGACAGACAGTAATCTTTCAGTAATCTCTCTAGGCATCCTCCAGGGCTTCCACGCTCGTTCCCACTCCTCATCCTAAACAAGTCGATACCGAGACCCGTTGCAAAAACCCAGGGATTGTTAGGGTTTAGGGTTTAGGGTTCCAAAAACCCAGGGATTGTTGAGTGGTGTATCCCAAGCTTGCAACCTACACGGTTTAGGTTTTAGGGTTAGGGGGCTTGGTACATATACTCACAATCCCTATCAACCATGTAGTAGCCCAAGGTACCCCTTTTTTTTAAACCTGCTTGCTCAGTCAACCTTAGCGTCCTAGTAAGGGAGACGAGGAGGATGAAGACTTCGTGAGGGGCTTTAGGTTTTGAGGTCCCCCCATCATCTCCAGATGTGTCAATATTTTTCAACCTGGAATGAATATACCCAACACCCTATGCTCTAATCTACCTACTGGTTCTTACTAGGGGTTCAGAGAATATCTTATATGGGCGTTATATGAGGCATCGTCTAAACTCCTCATATCCCCCTTATCAGCTTTATAATACTCCCCGATATGATCCCCTATATAACCCTCCTTTGAAAAGTTTGCTCGAACTATAAGTCATATGGGGATTATATACCCCTACCAAGAACCAGTAAGTCTAACAACAACTGCATGTGGGGGTGCCGGAGGAGGGCCAGTTGCCGCTCATGAACCTGAGTCTCTTTTTTTTTTGTTTTCGTTTAGGGCCTTAAGCTAACTGACCACACTATGGGTACATAGGGTTTAGGGTTTAGGGTTCACAATATGGGTATATAGTAAATAACAGGGTTTCTTTATCATGGCAAATTTAACTTCCTTAACAGCAACCCAGTAGTAGGTTACGGGCCTGGGCTGTACGGCTACTTTCAGGGGATGTTGTTGTTGATTAGTTTGGGTCGACTGGGTTTGGGGTCTGGATGCTCCAAAGCGAAACTTTCCAAACTGAAGGTGCCCTTCCGACAACCTTGACAACAACCTTATTCATAGGAGCGATGATCTAGAAGGTAGCCACAACATAAGGAGTGACAGCAGCGATGTACCAACACGGAAAGATGAGGGGAAGACAGCAATGAGTCTGAGCCAGATGAGGGCAGATAGCTAAAAAAAGGCTCAAATGAGCTTTCAAAAAAAACAAATGGTTTTTAAGCCCGCAACCCCATGCTTGAAAAAAGTTGATTGTAAAACCCAATGATGCGCGCATGGACGATCACGTCTTTCCGCCTGGAACCTTCATCCAGCCAACAGCCTGAGGGGTTCAGGTTACGGGTTAGGAGGGTTCCCAAAATTGGGAATACCTTTTTGGTACAGAGAACCCAAGACCCAACCTAACCCAGATTCACTTCCCAGACCCGCTAGATGCCAGGCCAGGTAGCTGGTCATGCATGCGCGTGATGTGCTGCTCCGATTCGCTCCTTAAAAAGTTGCAGCAAGCAGTCTGAGTCTAGGGCTTAGGCACCAAGACCTACTGGTTCTTAGTCGAGAGTAAGGTAATATAATCCCTATATTCTCCATGTATGGTATATTCCCATCTTACCTACTAACCCTAAGCCCTCAAACCTAAGTAACATATTCGCATATGCCCTACTCAGGACCAGTGAGTAGATGTTTGAGAACAGGCCGAAGATTCATCCCAAACCCAGGGTTAAGGGTTTAGGTTAGGTGGGCGCTCCACCCAGTAATAGTGACTAAAAGGGATAATACGGATTGCATTAGGGTCCTCTTAGATTCCTGTTTTACCACTATTATAGGATGAGGGGTCCTCCGACTTGGAGGGTCATGGGGACTCAGTAAGTAGGTTAATATCCCCTATACACCATACAGTAACACTACTTATCCCAGTTATTAAACTACTTACTAAGTCCCCATGACCCTAAACCCTAAGCCCTAAATCCTGAACCCCAAACCCCAAACCCTAAACCCTAAACCCCAAACCCCAAACCCTAAACCGTAAACCCCAACCCCTAACTCCTAAACCCCAAACCCTAAACCCTAAACCCTAAACCCCAAACCCTAAACCCTAAACTCTAGACCCTAACCTACTTACTGAATCCCCATGAACCCTGGCAGCGCCCAAGTCCAAAGCTGGAAGTTCCCTGGACCCCTGGTAGGAATGATAATTTCAACTGGTTATTAGGGTTTAGGGTTTAGGGATTAGGGTTTAGGGATTAGGTATGCATGTATACACATAGCAGAATTACAAATCAGTTCAAGGGAACTTTCAGAAAACTGAGCCTGTGGCCTTAAACCTTTGTAAGTTGTGACCTCGTTCGCACGAAGAGGGAGGCTCTAGGCAGAAAACAGCCAACCTGCTGGCCGTGTCAAACAGATAGGGCATATGAGCTATAGTCTAAACTCCTAGTATCCCCCTTAACAGCCCCTATAGTAGTCCCATATATAATCCCCTATATAGCCCCCATTAAGGAATTTAGACTGTAGCTCATATGGGTACATACAGCGGGGTTCTTACAAGTAACCCATATCAAGCAACTCTGATCAACAGCTCCGGTAATGCCCTGCGGTGTCTAGTTGGAGGTCCAGGGTCAGAGTAACCTACTTCAGACCTGCATATGGTACCCAGTTGGAAAGCCCTGCAAGCACAGCGAACCAGTGAGAATTCCGACAAATAGAGTAGAAACCTTAAGGCTTGGCCCTGAATCCGTATGTTTGGAATTCTAAAGCCTAGTCCTTGAGCCCTGGAGCCTAAGCCTTGAACCCTAAACCCCAAGCCCGCCGAACCCTCAACCCGTAGACCAGCAGATTGGCTGTTAGGAGGGAATGGAGGAATGGCTTGCTAAAGTAGCAACCATATCCTCAGTTGTTGAACAAAATTTGTTGCCGTCTCCCTTCCTCAACCCTGAACCATAAAGTAGCCTCCATGTTCTTTTCCAACTCCTGAATTCTCTACTTATCACTTCATGCTAATGCTAAACACGCCCCATTGTGTCCCTAGCATAAATATTCCCTATAAGAGGCCGGATAATGGGGGACGTGTTTGAACAAAAAGCTATAGTCCCCCTTAAGTAAATAAGATCCCCATATACCCCATATTCCATCTACCTAAGGGTAACTACAAACCCTAAACCCTAAGAACAAGGAAGCCAGAGGTTCGGATGCACTGCATGGTGGGCACTGTAGAAAAGCTTCACGGCCCCGCGCCTTTGTAGAGTTTAGGGAGGTATGCTGCATAAAAAAGTAAGGGTTTGATCCAGAATAATGAACTCAGGGGAGCCTCGGGGTATCCAAGTCACAACTTGAGCGGATTCCCATCAAACACGCAGTTTCAGATGGGGGTCGAGGTCGAAAGGAATAAGAGTAAACGATTTCATGGTTTCTCTGGGTGGGGCTTTGAGGTTCGAGGTTGTGTGATATGGGGCTTGGAGCCCGCAGACTCTTCCATTCAGAGAAGGACAGAAGGTGAAAACATCGCCAATAAAAGATGTTTCAATCATACCACACAATAACACCGGTTCTTCCACAGTCGAGTACTAAAAATGATAACGACCATGTCATTTTCGGAGATCAGACCACCCGGATTATTCTGCTCTGGACCTTTGTTCTTTTGTCAAAGTCTCCACATCTCCCCTTGCGCCCACAGGGCGCCATGCCGTGCCGAAAACACATATGACTAATCTTACTCTAATTATTACTATTATTGCTATTAATAATCTGTGTTTTATGCTTTCATTAGTATTACTATTTCTATCATACGGCCGGACGGCTTGCTTTATTTGACTTATCCTTTAGATGCTTTCGGGCACATGCCCTACATAAGAAGTTGCAAGCCGGAACCAGCTCTGAGAACCCCAATTCTCCTACATTTTCCTTTGCTGCAAGCCCCCAACCAAAATCCATTGTTTTTTCCGTTGCCCCAATGTAACCCCAATATAAC